CCTTTTTAATTTTTTTTCTTTTGCACACCCTACCAAATTCATCCACCAATCTCTGCAACTTCTCTTCAGAATCTCCCAAGAGCACAGTGTCATCGCAAAGAGCAGCTGTGACAACTCCCACTTTGTGTGTGATTCTTTATCTTTTAACTCACGCCTCTTGTCAAGACCCTCGCATTTACTTCTCTTACAACCCCATCTATAAATATATTAAACAACCACGGTGACATCACACATCCTTGTCTAAGGCCTACTTTATACTGGGAAATAATTTCCCTCTTTCCTACATACTCTAACTTTAGCCTCACTATCCTCGTAAAAACTCTTCACTGCTTTCAGTAACCTACCTCCTACACCATACACTTGCAACAAACTGCACATTGCCCCCTATCCACCCTGTCATAAGCCTTTTCCAAATCCATAAATGCCACAAAGACCTCTTTAGCCTTATCTAAATACTGTTCACTTATATGTTTCACTGTAAACACCTGATCCACACACCCCCTACCTTTCCTAAAGCCTCCTTGTTCATCTGCTATCCTATTCTCCGTCTTACTCTTAATTCTTTCAATAATAACTCTACCCTACACTTTACCAGGTATACTCAGCAGACTTATCCCCCTATAATTTTTGCAATCTCTTTTATCCCCTTTGCCTTTATACAAAGGAACTACGCATGCTCTCTGCCAATCCCTAGGTACCTTACCCTCTTCCATACATTTATTAAATAATTGCACCAACCACTCCAAAACTATATCCCCACCTGCTTTTTAACATTTCTATCTTTATCCCATCAATCCCGGCTGCCTTACCCCTTTCATTTTACCTACTGCCTCACGAACTTCCCCCACACTCACAACTGGCTCTTCCTCACTCCTACAAGATGTTATTCCTCCTTGCCCTATACACGAAATCACAGCTTCCCTATCTTCATCAACATTTAACAATTCCTCAAAATATTCCCTCCATCTTCCCAATACCTCTAACTCTCCATTTAATAACTCTCCTCTCCTATTTTTAACTGACAAATCCATTTGTTCTCTGGGCTTTCTTAACTTGTTAATCTCCCTCCAAAACTTTTTCTTATTTTCAACAAAATTTGTTGATAACATCTCACCCACTCTCTCATTTGCTCTTTTTTTTACATTGCTTCACCACTCTCTTAACTCTTTTGTTTTTCTCCATATACTCTTCCCTCCTTGCATCACTTCTACTTTGTAAAAAACTTCTCATATGCTAACTTTTTCTCCCTACTACTCTCTTTACATCATCATTCCACCAATCGCTCCTCTTCCCTCCCGCACCCACTTTCCTGTAACCACAAACTTCTGCTGAACACTCTAACACTACATTTTTAAACCTACCCCATACCTCTTCGACCCCATTGCCTATGCTCTCATTAGCCCATCTATCCTCCAATAGCTGTTTATATCTTTCCCTAACTGCCTCCTCTCTTAGTTTATAAACCTTCACCTCTCTCTTCCCTGATGCTTCTATTCTCCTTGTATCCCATCTACGTTTTACTCTCTGTGTAGCTACAGCTAGAAAGTGATCTGATATATCTGTGGCCCCTCTATAAACATGTACATCCTGAAGTCTACTCAACAGTCTTTTATCTACCAATACATAATCCAACAAACTACTGTCATTTCGCCCTACATCATATCTTGTATACTTATTTATCCTCTTTTTCTTAAAATATGTATTACCTATAACTAAACCCCTTTCTATACAAAGTTCAATCAAAGGGCTCCCATTATAATTTACACCTGGCACCCCAAACTTACCTACCACACCCTCTTTAAAAGTTTCTCCTACTTTAGCATTCAGGTCCCCTACCACAATTACTCTCTCACTTGGTTCAAAGGCTCCTATACATTCACTTAACATCTCCCAAAATCTCTCTCTCTCCTCTGCATTCCTCTCTTCTCCAGGTGCATACACGCTTATTATGACCCACTTCTCGCATCCAACCATTACTTTAATCCACATAATTCTTGCATTTACACATTCATATTCTCTTTTCTCCTTCCATAAACTGATCATTCAACATTACTGCTACCCCTTCCTTTGCTCTAACTCTCTCAGATACTCCAGATTTATTCCCATTTATTCCCCCCACCGAAACTCCCCTACCCCCTTCAGCTTTGTTTCGCTTAGGGCCAGGACATCCAACTTCTTTTCATTCATAACATCAGCAATCATCTGTTTCTTGTCATCTGCACTACATCCACGCACATTCAAGCATCCCAGTTTTATAAAGTTTTTCTTCTCTTTTTTAGTAAATGTCTACAGGAGAAGGGGTTACTAGCCCATTGCTCCCGGCATTTTAGTCGCCTCATACGACACGCATGGCTTACGGAGGAAAGATTCTTTTCCACTTCCCCATGGACAATAGAAGAAATAAAGAAGAACAAGAGCTATGTAGAAAAAGGAGAAAAACCTAGATGTATGTATATATATATGCATGTGCATGTCTGTGAAGTGTGACCAAAGTGTAAGTTGGAGTAGCAAGATATCCCTGTTATCTAGCGTGTTTATGAGACAGAAAAAGACACCAGCAATCCTACCATCATGCAAAACAGTTACAGGTTTCTGTTTCACAGTCATCTGGCAGGACGGTAGTACTTCCCTGGGTGGTTGCTGTCTACCAACCTACTACCTATGTATTACCTATAACTAAACCCCTTTCTATACAAAGTTCAATCAAAGGGCTCCCATTATCATTTACACCTGGCACCCCAAACTTACCTACCACACCCTCTCTAAAAGTTTCTCCTACTTTAGCATTCAGGTCCCCTACCACAATTACTCTCTCACTTGGTTCAAAGGTTCCTATATATTCACTTAACATCTCCCAAAATCTCTCTCTCTCCTCTACATTCATCTCTTCTCCAGGTGCATACACACTTATTATGACCCACTTTTCGCATCCAACCTTTACTTTAATCCACATAATTCTTGAATTTACACATTCATATTCTCTTTTCTCCTTCCATAACTGATCCTTCAACATTACTGCTACCCCTTCCTTAGCTCTAGCTCTCTCAGATACTCCAGATTTAATCCCATTTATTTCCCCCCACCGAAACTCCCCTACCCCCTTCAGCTTTGTTTCGCTTAGGGCCAGGACATCCAACTTCTTTTCATTCATAACATCAGCAATCATCTGTTTCTTGTCATCTGCACTACATCCACGCACATTCAAGCATCCCAGTTTTATGAAGTTTTTCTTCTTCTCTTTTTTAGTAAATGTCTACTATAACTATAGTTATTTTTTAAAAAATGTATTTTTTGTTAATATTTTTTGGGTGTCTGGAACAGATTAATTGTATTTAAATTATTTCTTATGACATATATTAATTCAGTTTTCGTACATTTTGGTTTTAAACCGACCTTCTGGAACGGATTAAGTATGAAAACTGGAGGTCCACTGTATATATACAACAAGAAATATCTTTAAAACATTTGAAATTTTGGAAAGTTTCCAAACATAAGGGAGAGTTGTGCTCATGGAGAATGTAAATAAACTGGGCAGGGTGTGGTGATCATATTAGAAAGACAGGGGGAGCCGTAAAGTGAGTTCTGGTCATGATTTGAAATGTCCGTATTAGCGGAACACCATAAAGCGAAATGCTGTAAAGCAGGGCCCTACTGTATGCATTTTTTAAGCTTAGCTCTATTGCTCACTTAATATATGACAGTGTACACATGTTATCAGGTTTTTATATGAATTTGAAAGTGAAAAAAGGCTATGTTTAATGCTACAGCAATTTCTGCTTTACAGCAGTAGCCCAAAACCTAACCTAGCAACTAACTTTTGCTGAGACAACCCCTACCCCTCCTACATTCTGCTCAGGGTTTATATAGTACCCAAACCATTTCAACAATCCCTCTTCAGCCCTTTTATATGCCCTTATTAAAAAAATCTGAGCAAAATAAATTTTGAAAGCAATTAATGTATTCAAAATTTTTTGTAATTCAGATATCTACTGCATCAATAAATTCTTCTTTCAACAAACAGGCCGCATCCCACCGAAGCAGGGTAGCCCAAAAAGAAAAACAAAAGTTTCTCTTTTTAACTTTAGTAATGTATACAGGAGAAGGGGTTACTAGCCCCCTTGCTCCTGGCATTTCAGTCGCCTCTTACGACATGCATGGCTTATGGAGGAAGAATTCTATTCCACTTCCCTGTGGAGATAAGAAGAAATAAACAAAAACAAGAACTAGTAAGAAAATAGAAGGAAACTCAAAGGGGTGTGTATATTTATGTTTGTACACATGTGTAGTGTGACCTAAGTGTAAGTGGAAGTAGCAAGACATGCCTTAAATCTTGCATATTTATGAGACAGAATCCAATCATCATGTAAAACAATTACAGGCTTTCGTTTCATACTCACTTGGCAGGATGGTAGTATCTCCCTGCATCACTAAATCTAAGATAAAAATTACATTTTAAACTTTCACAGATGGAGGTGAGAGGGCTACAAACTAAGTATATCTTGTGGACATAAAACAAATTACTAAAATTTTAGCAAAATCTGTAGGATTAAATGTGAGAAATTAATAAAGAACCCCAACTAAATAATGAGAAACAGGTCACATTTATAAGGTTTATTTATGGTTATATACTTACTAGTAGACATTATCCAAGCAATGTAGCTAAAAATATGTTTAATATAAACTAATTCTGAGTCCAATATTTAAATTTGTTCAAAACTGAAAAATAATAATGACTCAGTGTGAATCAAGATTACAAAGAGCACTGAAAATTTCAGGTCAACATGAAGAGGTCTTCTCAAACTGTCACACACAACCTACTACAGAAAAAAGTTCTATAACCATTATAGGTAACCTACTGAAAAATGCAATACCTAAATACATGTACTTGGTGAATCCAATCCACGTATTCCACAGGGTGAAGATACCTAAATATCCATTGGGAAAGACAAGCCATATGCAGCAATATTAAATTTAGCTACAGCATTTTTATTGGCACTGACCTTGCATGACAGCATTGTGTACCTATGCGTTACATCCATACCACAGGTGAAACTAAACTGTCTCTCTAGAACTTGATGTGTCACTGAAGAGGTGTCTACAGTGTGTCTGGTTTTCATACTAGGCACAATTAACAAAACACTGATGCTGCCACTATCAGGTGATGGCAGGAATGACACAACTACATCCATTATACGAGGCATAGTTCCCGTGGTTTTCTGTGGAAAAAAATATAGTTGAGCATGAGGAAGTACAGAAAGGCTTTAGACAATGTTTAACAAACAAAGCAAAAGTTCTTTTGCATTTCTGCCAACACACTCCCTTAAATTGTAATTTATCTCATTACTTACTGCTGCTACTACTATTACCACTACTGCTACAATGATTATTACTACTACTGCTACTCACTTCTTAACCAGTTTTCATCACCTACCCTACCTTCTACTCTTCTTTCCCCTCCCTCTTTATCAACTTCTTTTGATTTTCTCCCCATTTCCTTGCTCAGGTGTGACTTTATAATGTTCCAGGATGGACCAGCTACAGTGGAACCTCGGTACTCAAATAGCTCCCTACTTGAACAATTCGGTATTCAAATGTAAAAAAAATCACTCGGTAGTTGACCGTTTGCTCGGCATATGACCAAACAAACATGACCTGCCAGAACTTCACTGTAAACTATTTCGTGTTTCTTCGCATTTTTTTATGTTTTTTCTATATTATTTGCATAAATAAGTCACCATGGGGCCTAAGAAGATTAATGATAACAGCCAACCAAAAAGAAAATTGGTTGGGAAAAATTCATTCAGTACTCGAACAGATCGGCACTCGAACAGCCTTCTGGAATGAATTAAGTTTGAGTACCGAAAAAGAAACCACATTCAGTGTCATATGCGCTCATGCTGCTTACCTAAAGAGCACAGACATCAAGAACTCTAACACCTTCACCTTATATAAAGTGCAGGGATTGTATACTTCCTACCTTCAAAACTCAACTTTAGCTGACTATTTTATTTTTATTATCACACTGGCCGATTCCCACCAAGGCAGGGTGGCCCGAAAAAGAAAAACTTTCACCATCATTCACTCCATCACTGTCTTGCCAGAAGGGTGCTTTACACTACAGTTTTTAAACTGCAACATTAACACCCCTCCTTCAGAGTACAGGCACTGTACTTCCCATCTCCAGGACTCAAGTCCGGCCTGCTGGTTTCCCTGAACCCCTTCATAAATGTTACTTTGCTCACACTCCAACAGCACGTCAAGTATTAAAAACCATTTGTCTCCATTCACTCCTACAAACACGCTCACGGGATGCCTGCTGGAAGTCCAAGCCCCCCGCACACAAAACCTCCTTACCCCCTCTCTCCAACCTTTCCTAGGCCGACCCCCTACCCCGCCTTCCTTCCACTACAGACATATACACTCTTGAAGTCATTCGTTTCGCTCCATTCTCTCTACATGTCCGAACCACCTCAAAAAACCCTTCCTCAGCCCTCTGGACAACGTTTTGGTAATCCCGCACTTCCTCCTAACTTCCAAACTACGAATTCTCTGCATTATATTCACACCCAAAATTTCCCTCAGACATGACATCTCCACTGCCTCCAGCCTTCTCCTCGCTGCAACATTCATCACCCATGCTTCACACCCATATAAGAGTGTTGGTAAAAACTATACTCTCATACATTCCCCTCTTTGCCTCCAAGGACAAAGTTCTTTGTCTCCACAGACTCCTAAGTGCACCACTCACTCTTTTCCCCTCATCAATTCTATGATTCACCTCATCTTTCATAGACCCATCCGCTGACACGTCCACTCCCAAATATCTGAATACATTCACCTCCTCCATACTCTCTCCCTCCAATCTGATATTCAATCTTTCATCACTAATCTTTTTTATCCTCATAACCTTACTCTTTCTTATTCACCTTTAATTTTCTTCTTTGCACACCCTACCAAATTCATCCACCAATCTCTGCAACTTCTCTTCAGAAACTCCCAAGAGCACAGTGTCATCAGCAAAAAGAGCGTGACAACTCCCACTTTGTGTGTGATTCTTTATCTTTTAACTCCACGCCTCTTGCCAAGACCCTCGCATTTATTCTCTTACAACCCCCTCTATAAATATATTAAACAACCCCGGTGACTCACACATCCCTGTCTAAGACTACTTTTACTGGGAAAATTTTTTCCCCCTTTCCTAAATACTCTTAACTTGAGCCTCACTATCCTCGTAAAAACTCTTCAAATGCTTTCAGTAACCCACCTCCCACACCTACACTTGCAACATCTGCCATTGCCCCCTATCCACCCTGTCATACGCCTTTTCCAAATCCCTAAATGCCACAAAGACCTCTTTAGCCTTATCTAAATACTGTTCACTTATTATGTTTCACTGTAAACACTGGTCCACACACCCCCTACCTTTCCTAAAGCCTCCTGTTCATCTGCTATCCTATTCTCAGTCTTACTCTTAATTCTTTCAATAATAACTCTACCATACACTTTACAGGTATACTCAGCAGACTTATCCCCCTATAATTTTTGCACTCTCTTTTATCCCCTTTGCCTTTATACAAAGGAACTATGCATGCTCTCTGCCAATCCCTAGGTACCTTACCCTCTTCCATTACATTTATAAATAATTGCACCAACCACTCCAAAACTATATCCCCACCTCCTTTTAACATTTCTATCTTTATCCCATCAATCCCGGCTGCCTTACCCCCTTTCATTTTACCCACTGCCTCTACGAACTTCCCCCACACTCACAACTGGCTCTTCCTCACTCCTACAAGATGTTATTCCTCCTTGTCCTATACACGAAATCACAGCTTCCCTATCTTCATCAACATTTAACAATTCCTCAAAATATTCCCTCCATCTTCCCAATACCTCTAACTCTCCATTTAATAACTCTCCTCTCCTATTTTTAACTGACAAATCCATTTGTTCTCTAGGCTTTCTTAACTTGTTAATCTCACTCCAAAACTTTTTCTTATTTTCAACAAATTTGTTGATATCATCTCACCCACTCTCTCATTTGCTCTCTTTTTACATTGCTTCACCACTCTCTTAACCTTTCTCTTTTTCTCCATATACTCTTCCCTCCTTGCATCACTTCTACTTTGTAAAAAACTTCTCATATGCTAACTTTTTCTCCCTTACTACTCTCTTTACATCATCATTCCACCAATCACTCCTCTTCCCTCCCACACCCACTTTCCTGTAACCACAAACTTCTGCTGAACACTCTAACACTACATTTTTAAACCTACCCCATACCTCTTCGACCCCATTGCCTATGCTCTCATTAGCCCATCTATCCTCCAATAGCTGTTTATATCTTACCCTAACTGCCTCCTCTTTTAGTTTATAAACCTTCACCTCTCTCTTCCCTGATGCTTCTATTCTCCTTGTATCCCATCTACCTTTTACTCTCAGTGTAGCTACAACTAGAAAGTGATCTGATATATCTGTGGCCCCTCTATAAACATGTACATCCTGAAGTCTACTCAACAGTCTTTTATCTACCAATACATAATCCAACAAACTACTGTCATTTTGCCCTACATCATATCTTGTATACTTATTTATCCTCTTTTTCTTAAAATATGTATTACCTACAACTAAACCCCTTTCTATACAAAGTTCAATCAAAGGGCTCCCATTATCCTTTACACCTGGCACCCCAAACTTACCTACCACACCCTCTCTAAAAGTTTCTCCTACTTTAGCTGACTAATTTTCCTAAATCCCAGAGTCATTTCACAGTGATGTAGGTCACCATTCTATCCAACGAGACCAAGAAACTGAGAACACAGCCATAAAAAACATACAAAAATACACCATAAAGTTGCTGTTTTAAACTAAAAATACAGTCGCAGTTTTTTCCACACTACGCACTGCAGGATTTTTTTTTATGTGGTACACACTTACGTCATAGACCTGTTCTCTCATATCTAGGCCCAAATTTACCACAAACAGCTTATCTAAGAGAGAGAGCTGAGTTCTTCACGCAGAACAATGGGACCGACCTGGGCTTCAAAGACATAGAACAAATGGACCCACCCTGAAAGGGTTAAATCAAACACACTCACCACACAGACCCATCCTCTCATATCTACCCAACATTTACATCTCACAGTTTATCTGAGTGAGCTGAGCCTATGATGAAGGTCTATGTGAGGGATCCTGGCATCAATAATGTGACTGCCACTCAGAGGGTTAAATTTGAGGTGACAATAGTGGGTGTACAGTACATAGTAGTATTTGGCTTTAAGAAAGTGAGGAATTGGAACTATCTACTATATGAAAGACATGTACAAGCATAGTATATATACACACCCCTCTGGATTTTCATCTATTTTCTTACTAGTTCTTGTTCTTGTTTATTTCCTCTTATCTCCATGAGGAAGTGGAACAGAATTTTTCATCTGTAAGCCATGCATGTCATAAGAGGTGACTAAAATGCTGGGAGCAAGGGGCTAGTAACCCTTCTCCTGCCTTTACTTTCCAAATCTTTGAGAAACTCATACACAAAAGGTTATACTCTTTCATAACATCATAAAGCATCCTTAACCCTTGCTAGTTTGGCTTCAGGAGAAACAAAAGCACAAATGATGCAATAATAAAAATGCTAGACCTACTATACACAGCACTGGAAATAATGAATACCTGATTGGACTCTTTATCGACCTTAAGAGAGCTTTTGATAGAGTAGATCACAGTATCTTACTCCTCAAGCTTGATTATTACAGTATAAGAGGCCATGCACTTGCATTTATCAAGTCCTACCTTACTAATAGAAAGCAATATGTCTCTGTCAAGGACACAACCTCCTAAACAAGACCCCTGGACACTGGTGTACCACAGGGTAGCATTCTTGGCCCCCCTTGTTTTCCTTTTATACATCAACGATCTTCCATGCGTATCTTGACTTATGCCTATTCTCTTTGCTGACAACATGACTTATGTCATCTCCCACCCAAATCTAGACTCACTCAACACTACTGTTAATGAAGAACTTGCAAAAATAGCAACCTGGTTGACCCGTCAATAAACTTACACTTAATGTAGACAAAACCTTTTACATTTTGTTTGGGAGTAGAGCAAGTGAGCTCCAACTAAACATCATGCTTAACAACATCCTTATTGCTAAACATAATGAGGGAAAATTCCTGGGTCTGCACCTTGACAGCAACCTGAAATT